AGCAGTTTTATCGAGTATATGATGGCATGGTTGCTTACCATTGCATGCCTCCTTGTACCACGGGCCTAACCGTTGTACGTGTTCAATCCGAGCTATCCTGCCACCAAATCAGAGTGGTTGGAAACTTACACTCGGATGCCGAGCAACTTTGTGAGTTTCGTCTCTATAGGCATACTGGCAAGCTGGCTACGTCTGGAGGTGTGTGTGTGGAAGAGAGGGTAGAGGTGTCAGAGCGAGCGAGATGAAGCAGGTACCCCGGATTGTTGGACACCGGAGCCTTGTACATGTGCCCCGCAAGCGACATGTGTTATCCCTTTCTCCGAGCTTACCGGGGCGCCAAAGTCCCGCCTTCTGCCCCGCCGGTTGCCCAATATGGCAGCAAAATCTGTGACCCGACGGCCGATCCCAGGTCATCGCGCGCAACGGCGGCATCGCGCCTTGAACTCGCTCTCGCTGCTGTCACAGTGAGCCTGGGCCGGCCACTGTCGCAAGGATCGCGCGCAGGCTGTATGTCGCTTTCGCTTACTCGACGTTGTACGCACTCGCGCTGGTCGAGAGGCAGCCGTCTTTATTCCTCCACGTCAGACCTCTTCAACATCTTGTTCTTCGGACGTGATGAGTTCTCTTGCCTGGTCTTGCAGCAGCTGCTGACAGCCAAAGGTATGAAGCCGTGCTTTGAACTGCGTAATACTCATTGTGACTAGCAGATGTCTGGCAGGACATCCAAATTGTCACACAGCCTGACACTAAAGTCGGTAGAAGGGGCTCCAAGCTGTCTGTCTGTATGTGTTGCGCTCCTCGCGGTAATCCTAATATTGACTTCGGGGCATATCAGCACCCTTGAAATTGCTTGCAGAAGATGCGCGGCTCCAGGTGCACACCATTCCCCATGTGCGGTCCGAGTTCAGGACATGGAAGGTACCCATCGCCTTTATCACTCTTTATTCTAGCTGATGAGCCGCTATTCCCAGGCCCCGCCTCCATTCACGTTTGACACAGATGCTAGACCAAACCCTACACCTGCCCCCAACCATCTCCTTGTGACGGCCTCTTTCGGACGTATCCTCCCTAATCCTCTGCTCGCTCTCTTCCTTCCCACAAGGAGATTGAACGTGCACCCTTCGCTCCTCCCTCTGTACCGCGGTCCTGCGCCGATACAACACGCACTCATCGACGGTCGGCGGGAGACGGGTGTTTGCGTCATCGAGATGACCGAACGGAAGAAGGGCATAGACTCCGGCGCGATTTGGCGCTCCGAAAGGATGGCATGTCTACCCTCTCGACAGTATCCACCCGTGGTACTAACAGCGAACCGTTAGGGCATACCGGATACAGCTGACTTCCCGACTCTGCGCGACTCACTCGCGCGTACGGGCGGTCAGCTTCTCGTCTCAGTCTTGAGGGACATGCTAGCGGGGAAGGCGAGTGCATGTATCCGAGATCCGATGCTTACACTGAGGCTGACCGAATGGATTCTTTCACAGGATACCCGAATACCACAGCCCGTAGACCCAGATGCGCCCCGCGCGCCACTCATCACCGCGGAACACTCGATGATCGACTTCAGGACGATGACTGCGTCTCGCGTCGTCGGAACCCATCGTGCTATATCCCATCAGGTACGTAGCACATCGTTAGCTTGTGAAGCCATGGACAATTGAACATGTATCAATCCTGCGCAACGGTGTGTAGAAACCGATGGCAGCCATGCTCAAGATTGGTCGTACGCTGCAGTTGCACAATCCTTGTGTCCTCACCGAGGTGTACGCGGATATCGAGAACCACCTGCCGACGGAGGGCACGGCAAAGTTCCATCCGCCCAGCGGCGCTATCGTCATCCGTTGCGCTGAGAACACGTACCTGAGCGTTCCACAGGTATGTCTTTCACTACTACGGCACGGCATACGTTGATGAGCTTACCGTCGGCGCTGCAGGTCCGACAGCAAGACCGTCATTTGCTTAAGGCGAAGGAGTGGTGGAATGGCGTCAAGCCGGAGATGCGATTGACTGAAGGCCTGGAAGGTCCTGTGCACTTCGTTCCCTTCGATTCGGTTACCAGGAAACGTTAGTCCATGTTCTCGCCACTGAATCTTCTGCATGGCTCCACGAGGCGCGAAGTCTGCCCTTGACAACGGCGCTCAGCCCTCCAAGAGCCGTCGCAGGCCGGAAGTGGGACGTGGCGACCCTTCCTCTGAGTATCACTTTGCTTCAACGGCGATGTCGAACTGGGTCATGAAGGGTAGCAATCCCAGTTTCACGTACTCAGTACGTGCACTTGTATCTCTGCGCGTTGGATCTTCTGGTCGTAGCAGGGCTGACGGATCGAGCACAACTGCTCGGTTTGTAAGCTCGCGCGGGCGGGCTTTACGCATCGCGAGGCGACTAGCAAGTTTCACTGTCTGGCCAACTCTCCCAATTTCATGTTTGACATCACGAGATAAGATGGGGGCGACTACTAGTTGCGGTGCTGGTTATAGGGGCTATGTGCGAAGCAGCAATTATGTGGATTGAGCCCTGGCCGCACAAGGAGCCGACTGCGACTCTGCGTCTACACATCCGTGAGATGCGGATCAAGAGAGAAGACGGCGTCGCGCAACAATTAAAGGTCACAGCTCTCGCGCGTACTGTTGAGCACATGATGGTTTGGTTTGTAGCGATGTATCGTTCTTGGTATGCCTGGACGACGACCTGGAGGTTCTCCCTCAGGTACTTATGCAGCTCTGCTCCACGAATTTCCGTCCACGGGTGTACAGGGCGTTTAGACCCTTACTAATGGACCGGTGATAACTGGAGTCTCTTCGGAAGACAATGATTCCCGGTGCCTCACGCACTATATTGGGAACGGTCTGGGATCCGCCCTACCCACAATTCTCATGCTACCAGCATCCATCGAGCACCTATAATACATACATCTTTGTTCTAGCCGTAAGGGAAGCCCCCGTTACCATCTTTCTTTCAGTCACTTCACCATCGAGCACCCTAGTCACCGTAGACGTGATCATGCACAAAATCAACCAACCCCATATCGACAATATGCCACTGGCGTTACATGCCGCCAAATACGCTCTCGACAGGGCCAACTCCGGGAGAGATAGTAAACGCCCCAAGGGAGATGAGCAGCCGCAAGGGTCATCTATTCAGGCTGCCGCGAACCTTGTCCAGGACGACGGGGTCAACCTCCTTATCAGTGGTGTTGAATCACTTGTGGACAACTTGCCCCCGTTCGTGAAGGCCTTGGATGCTGTTTCGAAAATGCATCCGTTCGTTGCGAGTACGTTCAGCGAACAGGGCCGGAGCTCAACGGCTATGGCTAACACAGTCTGATGAAACAGTTGCTGTGGCACCGTTCAAGATTGCGATGGAGCTAGAGATCAGGCGGCAGAATAACGACAAGAAGGTCAACCTACTGTTCCTCGAGATGCAGAATATGATGTCGGCATTGTTACAGTATGTCTCAAAAGAAAGCCATTATCTCCATGTGTACTCACAATCTTGTATTCACAGGCTGCAGCACGTACCTCCAAATCATACTGCTCCTGATGATGGTCTGATGGTCGAGGATCATCTGCGAGAGCTTATGACTCGTATTGCTGGCGATATCGAGGAGTGCGCCAACGCCTGTAACGCTTACTCGAACAGCCGTGTTCTGTTGAAGGCCTTCAAAGGCTACAAATGGGAGGAGAAATTCAAGGAGCACATCAAGACCTTTGCCAGTCGAAAGACAGAGATCATCCAGGCCTTGTCCATGCACTCAGCCATCGGTATTGATCATGCCAATGATAAACTTGATCGCCTAATGGAAAGGTCAGCTCTGTTCGTCATTTGGAAAGCTAGCTAGCTGACCCGTGACCAGGACGGAGCTTCTCCTTCAGTACTTCGAGCGTTGCGCTCCACGATCGCAGCGCGTGCTCAGCTCTATGATCGGCCAGGCGGGTGGACCAGACGCTGCGCTTCGAGATCCTGCCACCCTTCGAAGTCTCCTCGATAGCGAGCGTTCTCTCGAGTACAAAGACGGCTATATACCACCACGTCCTCACATTTCTCATACGTTCACTGGTTCATCTAGTGTTCTCGATTCGAGACACTCCAGCAGGATCGCTGCTTGGCCGCCGCTCGGCATCCCGCACTCGCGAATGCCCGGAAGAACAAATTCGTCGCGCGTGCGGAGCATGGGTACCAACTCGCAGTACAGCCGCCTCGGGTCACGCACGGATGCTGGAAATCAGTACCGCGACTTGCAACGGGGGAACCTGACGCCTGGATCAAAGGCGCCTTCCAGCGCTTGGCTTGATGGTTCAGGCGAGATAGACTACTAGAAGGAGATGTCTGTGTTGCGACAGGAGGTGACTCGAGCTCCGTCTGTCGAGATCACTGCAAATAGGAAGATATTCCAAAGAAGGTTCGATATACGGATAAAGGGGTTGAGGGACGAGATGGCGAGGCTTTCAGCCCATCAAGGAGAATGGATTGTTGGCACGGTTCTTCAGGGACCGCATGAGAGGATCATGAACCCAGTATGCTCAACCGACTCACTTGCTAGGAGGAGCAAATCGGCTAACATCTGCGTTACAGGACTTGCGCGATATTTGGAAGGATATGGTAAGTTATAAATTGTCTCCGAGGGCTAGGACTGAACCTTCAGCAAGCGTTGGCGTGCCATCGTCAAGCCACGACATCTCGTCCTCGCAATACATGACTTCTATCTGCAGAAGCTGGATGACCAGCAGCGTGCGCGAGACGTCAAAGTCGAGGGAACTGGGAAACAGTGCCAGGAAATCAGCGAGGCGGATGCGTGGACGCTTCAATGTATCGACCTCATGCACTTCCAGCCAATCATTGAGGCCTTAGACGAGGACGCATCTGGTTACGTCACTATCCAAGAGGTCAACCGGTTCACGGCTTCTCGTCCGAAAGGGTGGAGGTGCGTTATGTTTATCTACACGTTTATTTAGGGCTACAACTAATGTCACGCGGCGACAAGTCTCCTATATTGGCTCGCATATTGGGCCGTTGGTGGGTTTATGCACGCGCGCATGCATCGAAATTTGTGCTTTACCTTCGACTGTCTATAGGCTGGCAGGTATGTATGACAGAATATCGGCGCAGGATAATCACCCTATGGCACGCTATGTCTCAACTTGAGAACATCCGTCAACTTAACAATGCGAACATCAACGAGTACTTGGATGTCATCCGCCAGACTGTAGGGCAGATGATTGCAGGGTTCAAACCGCTCTCTGAACGACTTGCTGTCTTGCCCCGTTTCCGAACATACATGGACCAAGAGGAGGAGCGACTGCGAGACAGCTTGAAGACTGTAGACTATCAAATAGATGCTTTGGAGACAGTCACCGACATCAACAGACAGAAAGGAATAGAAAGGGTTCGTCATCTCTGCTTCAACATGATGACAGGTTTCATTCCATCCCTTTCCCCAGAACCTTTTCCCCTTGCTATACTTGCTGATGCGTCGTCATTATGACATCATGAAACTGGCGCAAGTGCACGTCCTTCACAATGATGAACTAGCGGATGCTGGAGAGTGCTTCTACGTGATCAGAGACGCGTTCGTACTACGTCGCGGAGAGCTTTGCGGTGCGTGTAGCATCTTTGTCGACTTTCAGGAACGAGTAATGACGTCTCATCTCGAGCCCAGGCCTGTTCCAGCAGCGACGCCTTGATCTTTCCCAGGAGATCCACGAGTTTTCTTGTGGAATAGTGAGCAGATACGACATTCAAATGGAACGGAGCAAATGGAATCTTACATTGACTGTCCACAGTTCTCGACGGGCCATCTGCCACTGACGGAGCTGGGTCCACAGGCCGACACAGCGAGCTACGTCTACGACTTCACAGATGACGTGCTTCCCAACACAAATATCCTCAAGTACCCCCCACACTTCGAACACTTCTATCCTGCCCAAGGCTTGGAAGACGGTCTTGACGATCGTAATGGCTCCAATAACATAGATGGTCCGCTCCAACAAATGTGTGTACCACAGTCATTCAGAGATCCACCCTAGATGACTCAACCCAATTCCAGCGTCGGGCACTGGACGGGTGTTCTGGATCGTGTCAATGCGGATGCGGGCCTGGCTATGATCAACCTCCATTTCACACCTTCGTCTACTAGTAACAACCAGGTCATAGCCTCGCCAAGATTGTACTACCCTTGGCGGTGCACTCGCACTACTATCGTCGGAGAACCCATCACATCGTCCGAAGACGAACCTGCATTCGCCTTCACTGTGACGTTCAACTGTGACACGGCTGAGCTCCCGACCGAGTACCTTCGACTCACGCTTGGTCAAGACGGTACGACCTTGGTAGGCGATCATGATGTCGCCCCCGATTTCTCCAGTCCTTTTAGGAGTCACGCTGTCTTCAAAAAGGATGTCTCTCCGTCGGTCATGGCATTCTATCCATCCCCGCAACAGCTCAAAGAAAACAGACCTAAGGCATGGTGGCACTTTGCAATTCAGTCAATCCTCGGTTCGAAGGTAGAAAGCAAAATCATGTCTTGGAAGCGCGTCAAGGCCCTTTTAGACAGACGTCATCGTCTTGCCTCGCTTTTGTACTGTCAGATGTTCGTAGACGAGCTCCATCCCGAGGACGCCGACGAACAGTGCCGTCTCCTTCACCGAATTTCTCCAGCAGAGCTGCATCTCCTCACTTATGCCCTCGTGGAGTCCGAGAAGTACTACCACCGGTTCCTCCCGCCATGCTCAGGGGGTGTGTCCAGATCCTGCGGGAAGGTGCTGAAGACGGCGGTGCCTATGCTACGGTGCTGCACGTGTACTCCCGAAGCGGGGTATAGAAGACCCATGTTCGACGCGTCGTTCTGCAACGACAACCCAGACTGTCTCGAGCAGCACGTCAGAGACAAGCAGCAGATCCACTGCATCGTGAAGACACGCATTCCTGGATGGTCCATGGGCGAGGAAGGGAAGGCGAGGGAAAGGAAGTTGTCGGACCTCCTTGCTCGACTCGAGGACGTCACGGAAACATTGGCTCGTCCCAAGGGGACCAGAGCCGATACCTCATCCCCCTTCCGCAGAGCGTCGGTGGACAAGAAGGTGTGGGAATCGATCCCTAGCCTCAATGGCAAGACTACGCCGGACTCTATGGACACGCCGGAGGAGGTAGATGAGGGCTCCTCGTCATCTCTTCATGAGGATCACCTTGCAAGTGAGGAGTCTCTGGACGGCTCTGTGGAGGACGAACATATCGCCCGTACTGCCGCGGACCTGAGATTCAAGCATGTAGGGCTCCACACGCCGCCACGCTCCGATATGAGCTTAAGTATCGTACATAGCGACACTGATTCGCTCCTGGAGGGGAGTCCTTTAGCGAACCCTGCGAACCCTACGCCCATCGCCAAGCCCTACTGCATTGGATGCGAAGAGGAGGTGCACATGCCTTGTTGGCTTTGCGTCGAATGTTCAGGTATATCATCCACATTGTGATATAGGGTAGAGGCTGACGTGCTGTCAACGATCAGATACACTCTTTGTCTGTCTTGCTTGCGACGAGAAGGGCGGCATCGAGGCTGTACAGCACAAGGGCACTCATGCACTTGCACGGGTGTACGACAATCAGGCAGCAGAGTCAACCACGCTGAAATCCGCGCTGAAAACTTCGTCCAGGCCGCAGCGTGCACATAGTGGCGTGCGATGGGGGAACGTCAGAGACGGTGACGGTGGCGTACGATGGGGGAACGTCGGAGACGATGAGACTGACGCTGATGCCTCCTCCGGACCCGGGGACTCCTATGACAAAGGGGAAGCGTCATTGGCTGACATGGAGACGCGCTTCACGACAATGGAAGACAGGATCGGTGGGCTCGAGGATGGGCTGGGTCGAATCGAAAAGATGCTGGAAAGGCTGCTCACGCCGTCTCGGCTTCGACCCGGCCGCAGCCTCCCAGGAACAGCTTCACCGATATGAAGGCAGTGGGATGGGCGTCAGAATCGGACTCAGGTAGTAGAGGTGTAAGTTATATAGTGGCATGTTCCTCTTTGCCAAGTCCGCTTGACGTTTGAGCGAGCAGAAGCGTTACAGACTGAATAACAACCTCACTGACCGCTCGAGATCCATGCGCAGGTGCAGTATATTGCATATGTAGCGTCGAACGCGCTCACGTCCAAATGCAACGTAACTTCCACTCATATCAGCATTGGCCATTATAGGAACACAACGCAGACGCGACGTACCATTGTCCGCAGTCTCGGAATTCCGTAAGCCCTCGACTGCTGCGCACGCATAGCCTTCGTATCTGGCGGATTTATGCTGGACAGGAGGGTGATGTTCACTACGAAAGGATTATTCGCAAGTATCCTCGTTTCCTGCATAGCTGTCCGGAGCGCATCCGGGGAGGTCGGGTGAGGAACCCGAGGATGCCTGTTACACGAAGAAAAGTTAGTACTATTCCGTACCTCTCGAGAAAAGACACTTCGGGTGAAAATGAGCCGCAGGCAAGGCTGAGCAGCATGACGCTGACGGACTGATGCGATATGGATCCAGCCCCCCGCCCCATCCCTATCCCTGTATGCTCTGCGACTCTGGCAGAATCTCGATCACAGACTCGGACAGACAGCATACGCGGAGTCTATCTCGGGGAGACGGGTCCAACACAATGATACAACGTTGCAGAAAGCGCCGTATCCCGGAAAGGATTTGAAACGATGTCAGGTCTGCCACACAATGTATACGAATTGTGTGCGCTGTCCGGATCGACTTGGCCCTCACCTTCAAATGATCCACTGACCACCCTAGTGCCATCTGGGCAAGCAGCCTCGGAGCTGTTCCAGCGCTGTAGTGGCGAGCTTGGGTACACCGACCTGCCAGTGGTGGAACCATCATTGGGCGATTTTTCTAAGAGCTTGATAGCATGCCTGCTCACCGTCGCATACGACTCTGTACCAATAGGTCCCCTGCATGTCGTTCATCCGGAGAGAGCGCAGAGGTAGGTATCATAGTGGCCGACTCCCGAGGAACCGTACCGGGTGTTTCCCGACGGGTGCACGTGTTATGACCTCGGGGCGCCAAAGGGCCCAGTGATAGCGTTGCCACCCGACAGTCACTTTCTAGCGGATGTCATTGCAGCACAGCGACGACGCTCACGCCTTGCCGAAACTCGCTCCCGCTGATCTGAGCCTATTCTAGTTTGCTTAACGAAGTGTACGCGAATGCTGAGAACTACCCAGCGGAGGGCACATCAATGTTCCATCCGCCCAGCGGCGCTATCATCATCCGCTATGCTAAGAACACGTACCCGAGCGTTCCACAGGCATGCCATTCACTATTACGGCATGACACACACCAGTCTGCTTACTATCTATGCAGCAGGTGCAATAGCAAGACTATCATCTCATCAAGACGAAGGCATGGTGGAATGGCGTCAAGTCGGAGATATGGTTGAACGAAGGCTCTAAAGGTCCTATGCACTTCGTCCCTTTCGCTTCGGTCACCGACGTTCTCGCAACCATTTCCTCTACATGGGCCGGCCAGAGACAAAGTCTAGCCTTCAATAACGACATTGAGCCTTGAGCGGCATCGTTTCACCCTCCTTGAGCCATCGCAGGGTGGAGATCGGAATGTGGCGAATCCTCCTCCTAATGCCACTTTGTTTCAACGGTGATGTGGTCGATCTGGTTCATGTATGGTTGCAATCCGGGCTTGGTTAATTCAGTGCGTGCGTCTGTACCTCAGCGCAGTCAACTTTGAATGTCTGGTCTCAGTTCGGCGAAATGAACCATGGTCGCGTGGTAGCAGACGGACTCGAGGCTTGAGGTTGACTCAACGGTTGTTAAGACGCGGACCGAGGAAGAAGACCGCATCGCGTAAGTAACAAGGTGACGGCTTTTGCGTGTACTGTTGACTGGATGACTGGTGGCGGTGATATATCGTTCTCGACGAGGATCGATGTTCTCCCTCAGGCAGTTATGCTGCTCTGCTCTAGAAGGGGCTCCTCTGCAGATTAGACAGAGCGATGACATTTTCAATCGAGGAAAGGAGAAGAGCGCGAGTCGCACACGGTCAGTACCGACACCCAGTATACGACACTCAATTCTAACTGGTCATCACAGGAAACCCCAAGCTGACGCCCGACCTCGGTCCTACCTCTGACCGTATGATGTTGGTGTGTTTATTTTCATACCCATTCGACGTCATGCTGTCGAAACTACCGTTCTCCGGCGTACAGCTCTTTGGCATCATTTGAAATCCCGATCCTGCACGGATCAGTGATCTCGCCAGCGCGATATAGTCCTGACGCCTAGGACGACCTGAGAGCCCCGACGTTGGTTCATCCGTACAAACCGCACCTGGCTGTCACTATCCCGATTGTTCCTGCGCGGCTCCATCAAGGTGCCTCATCCACTTATCTGTGGCGGTCATCAAGCCGCTCAATGCAAAATTCAGTATAAAATGTCGAACCGTGTCGTGGAGGGTGGACAGCAATTCGCCCACGCAGTATGCGACTATCCGCTTTCACGACCATCTTTGCCGCGCTACTCTCTGCGCTCCCGATGGCGCGCCCTGCCGCTGTCGAGACGCGCCAGGTCATCGTGTGGCCCGCCCATGGGACCACCATCTCCCCGGCAAACGGCAGTACTATTGCGGCCGGAGACAGCTTCCAGTTTTTATACAAGGATTCAAACTTCTGCGAGAGCGACGTAGTCACCGTCGCCGTGTACCTCAGCCAGACACCTCCGGCCAACTCAGACGTGATGGCGAACGGCAGGCTTGCGGACGGCACCTTCGAGTACTACTTCGGTGATTACACAATCTCGAACTTTGGTGAGTCTGCTCTCTTTCATATCACGTTTGTCGCAGGCGGCTGGCTTATTTCTGAAATCAGGTCTACCTCCGTCGAGTAATGCGCCACCCGCCAGTTTGACGATGCCTGTACTCGAAGGCACGGCGGCTAACACGACTCTCTACTTCTCAGTCTTGGAGGATTTCACTGATTGTCCGGTACGTCGTGCTACGTATCATGATGCTTTCTTGGGTCGTCACGGCTGATGAACATGATTCAGCCAAACGGCCAGTCCACTTGGTTCGGTATTGAAGCTACCACGGTGCTCTACGTTTGATTGTATAATGTGCTGGAATCTATATTCTCAGTGCGTTCTTTGACGAGTAGATCCGGGATAATGATAATACCAAGGAGATCTAAATCCATCGAAGGTGTGGCACCCTTTGTTCGTGCTTAGCTCAAAGCGGGCCAGCCGGCTACCCTTAAACGCTGGCCTACCACCTCAACCCTCGCTTTCGTTGCTCCACCTCGATACTATTTTCTTCATCTCTCGTAGTTGCTGTCGTTCGAAGTCTTTCACGGCACAAACATGTCCTCCGCACCCAACCCATCCAAAACGCAGAATCTCTCCGGATGCGAGCTCGCTAACCCTCCTCCCAAGTCTAACCACGCGCAAGTGGCACTCTCTGAAATCACCCGTCACCCTCGCTTCTGGTTCGACGACGGGAACCTGGTCCTCCTCGCAGGAACCATCGGATTCAAGGTGTACAGGGGTCTCCTGGCCGCGCAGTCCCCTGTTTTCCAAGACCTCTTCGCCTCTGCCACTCACGCCGAGGAGGAATACGGCGGATGCCCTGTGGTTCGGCTTACCGATTCGCCGCAGGACTGGAGTCAACTACTTGACGTCCTCCTGCCCATGACATACGTACGGTATGTATCCGTGCATCTCTCACTCGCACTTCCGCTCAGCGATCTGACCGTGGTGGATAGCATCTCGGACTCGCACAGGTGCCAATACGAGCAAATCTCTGCGCTCATTCGGCTCGCCAACAAATACCAACTCGAGTCCATTGAGCGTCAAGCTGTTGAATGCTTGAAGACAGTGTTCACGGACGCTTTCGAAGAGTGGAACAGCCCTCCTCAGGACGCCTTGAAGCTCGCCGACCCACAACAGGTAGTCGAAGTCGTCTATTTGGCGAGGCTCACGAACTGCTCCAGTATGCTTCCGCTCGCATGCTATCACTGCGCCTTGCTCGGGGAAGAAGTCCTGAACAGCCTCACAAGCGATGGGGAGCTGGATTCGGAGGACGTAAGGCGCTGCGTCGGTGGTTACCGGCAGCTTTGCGAGCTAAAGACGACCATCCCGACGCGTCTTTTCGGCCACCCTCCCTCCGTTTCGTGCAGGTCGCCTATCATGTGCGGCGAGATTCTGCGAAGGCTGGAGGAGAAGGCAGCGCTGGTATACGAGACCCCGAAGCTGTTGAATAGCGTCGAGCAGTGGACGTTGAGCTTCCCTCTTTGTGGGATGTGTCAAGAGGAGCTGGATGAACGTGACCGGGCTCGGCGCAGGGAGCTGTGGCAGAAGCTGCCCGAGATGTTTGGGTTGGTTGATGAGGTCAAGAGTTGGGCGTGAAGTATGTCGCGAGACCGTAGTTTTATCCGTAGCATTCGAGTAAATTGTCATTTGTATCCATGTCCTGAGTCATTGCCAATGGTGCTATATGCGATTAAGAATCGAGTACATCATGATCTGGCACATATTGGAGCACGGTAGCAACCCCGACCTCACTGATCCGCTAGGTTTCTGAGGGGTGTGCGCCATAGTGTTTCTGGTGAGGCACGATGCTCTGCACCGGGTTCGGCATGAGGCACACGCAAATGAGGGCCACGGTGGTTACTATCGTGAGCGGGGTGACATTCGCGATATAGTAATGGCTAGCTCCTTCAAGTGCCTGTCGGCTCAAGCTGAGACACGCCAGGCGTGCTGATTTTTGGGGGCTCTCCTGTGCCACTCGGTGGCAACTATACTGGATGAGAATTAGAAACACATATACTACTTGTATCCGACGAGTCGAATAGTGTCCTCATGTCTTCACAGACTCCTAAGGCAGAAAGGATTAGAATCGGCACAGCAGTGAGAATTGAGAACAACACGGTCGCGCTGCACTAGTCTGTCATTACTTCGAGGCATCAGTCGTATAATTGGTTGATCGAAGAGAGTACATTGGAAGATAGGTGGGTTCGGGCTGAGTCATAAGTAGATCATAGCAACGACTCGCGGCGTCGGCGTTACTGGACGTCGGGGAAGGTTGAGACTGTGCAAGCGCCGGGTTACGATGGTGTTGCCGCATGAGGCCTTGAAAACTGGCCCCGAGTCCGAAGCCACTACCGTCACACAGTCTTTTCTATGTCGCCATTACGACGAACCCCTCTACTAAGCTACCAGTGCTAGACAGCCTGATGCGAGATCGCACCGCATTGACTACTGGCAATTGGTGGAATCTTCGGAGACCGACGGTCACATTCGATGCAACCGCCGAACAATCAAGTATGAATGACATTCCATCCGGATCCGCCCACGAATTGCACTTTCGACGAAGTTGGAAATTGCAGAGGATGCTGAGTAGATAGTTGCCCCACCTGCCACGGGTTGCCCCTGTCAAACGATTGCGTTGACCTCGTGTAGGGCTGATCGGATTGATGCGTCGGTATCAGAACCTCGGAAGTACTTCTCCGTCCAAAGACCTGACAGATGTAAGTGCATACACGCATGCTTTGACGTCAGCAGACAAGCCTGGCCATCTCGATGTTGGCGAGGTGGGTGCGCAGCTTGGAGGGAGAAGGGTATATAAGAGTATTCTATCGGCCTAGTCAAGTCTCTGGCGAGGGTCAATCCACTTCGCAAGGTCATCGACATGAAGATCGCCACGACATCCGTCTTCGTGTTAGTGGCAACAGCGGCTACTGCCTTACCTGTCTTGCAAAAGCGCGCGAATCCCAAGGGTATCGATATTTCCAGCTACCAGGGGACGGTCAATTTCAACACCGTCAAGGCGAACGGGATCTCCTTTGTGTACATCAAGGCGACGGAGGGTACCAGTACGTTCTGCAGCACTACCAATTCTGGGAAACATAGCTCTGACAGGGAGTTGTATAAGCTTTCAAGGACCCAAACTTCTCCAGTCACTACGAGGGTGCGACCAACGCAGGTCTCATCCGCGGCGGGTACCACTTCGCCCATCCTGACTCCTCTTCGGGTGCTACCCAGGCAAAGTACTTCCTTGCTCACGGCGGAGGTTGGTCGAGTGACGGCATCACCCTTCCGGGTGCTCTTGACATCGAGTGTAAGTGTTTACTGGACAGTGCATGTGGGGTGCCGCCTGAGGAGGTGGTGCATGTAGACAATCCGAGTGGGGCCGAATGCTATGGCTTGAGCGCGTCGGAGATGGTGTCCTGGATCAAGGATTTCTCTAACACCTACCACTCGTCCACCGGGGTGTACCCGGTCATCTATACCACTACCGACTGGTGGAAGACCTGTACGGGCAACAGCGCTGCGTTCGCGTCCACGAACCCCCTTTGGATTGCGCGCTATTCGTCTAGCATTGGCGCGCTCCCCGCTGGCTGGAGCTACACGACCTTCTGGCAGTACGCGGACTCGGGATCAAATCCAGGAGACCAGGATGAGTTCAACGGTACCCTTGATGGCCTGAAGAAGTCAGTATGCACTGCTCCTTTTGATCTGACAGGAACACTCACCGGTGCATATAGGCTTGCGCTCGGCTGAAGGTGTCAGAAGCTTGGAGAACTTGTTGTGATACTACAGGATAATGCATCGTTTCTATGTCTCTACCCTTCTTTGCTGTTGTCGTACGTTGAATATACTCCTTTGTGGAGTGTTGGTACCATCGAACACCTGTCTGACGGGGGTAGTCAAGCACGTCTCTTTGCCGAGGCCGCTGGGAACCAGAGAGCATACATTGCGATAACCTCGTGTCCCATGGGCCATCGGACAACATTACGGGTTCGTAGTGAACGCACTTGGTGTTCGAATGCAAAGAACGTGTGAAGCGATGGTATGCGACTGGCGAAACGGTCGTGAGAACATTCGCTGTCAACCGTCTGATCGACATACTGCAGGTTGAACGACACTGACCTGATAGATGGCGGATAATTAATGCTGATCTGTCAAACCGGGCCTTCTGTACCAGAGCGGGCCATTGGAGGAAACTCCGCATGTTCAGCTTCCCTAGACCAGACTTCTCGCACACATGCTCTGCAGCCGTCTTAGTGGGATCTTGATCGTTGGTATCGATCCAAAGCAAACCGAGATTGCTTAAGTATAGATGTTCTGCTACAGACCTGGGAGCGTCCTATAGGAGCACCGCGCATTCGCGAAAAGCCAAGATGAGACTCACCGCTGCACCTCTTGTCGCTTTGGCCACGACCTTCACTACTGTGGCAACGGCTCCGGCAAAGCGGGCTGCTCCACAGGGTATAGACGTTTCGCACTTCCAGGGTGTCGTCGACTTCGCCGCCGCCGCCGCCAATGGAGTCTCATTTGCGTACATCAAGGCTACGGAAGGAACCAGTACGTTACTTCAACCTCGGTTTGTCTGGAGTAGAGCATGAAAGGTCAGCTCACCATACATTGTCGCAGCATTCGTTGACCCCGACTTCTCTGCCAACTATAACGGCGCTACGACCGCGGGGCTCATCCGCGGTGGATACCACTTTGCGCACCCGGACACGTCGTCTGGTGCGACACAGGCAGAGTATTTCCTTGCGCACGGAGGAGGGTGGTCCAGCGATGGCATCACCCTCCCAGGTGCTCTTGATATCGAATGTCAGTCCGTCCGAATGGTGCGCCGTACCGGCGCGATCGCTGATAAACTCGACTGGCAGACAACCCTGACGGGGTAGAGTGCTACGGGTTGAGCGCGTCAGCAATGGTCTCATGGATCAAGGACTTCTCCGACACCTACCAAGCACGTACTGGCGTCTTCCCAGGTATGTACGATAAGAGCAAAGAGAAAAGGGGAGATCGACGAACGAGCTCACGTCCGTGTCACAGTCATCTACACGACCACCGACTGGTGGACGACCTGCACGGGCAACAGCGCTGCGTTCGCATCGACGAACCCTCTCTGGATCGCACGCTACTCATCCAGCATCGGCACGCTGCCAGCGGGCTGGTCATTCACGACGTTCTGGCAATACGCCGATTCTGGACCGAATCCTGGCGATCAAGATGAGTTCAACGGCTCTCTCCAAGGCCTCAAGAAGTACGTACCTCAAATCTTCTATGCTGGACGTGCAGTATCTTGATGCTCGCATCGTACACAGCCTCGCTCTTGGTTGAATCGTACATTGGATCGATATGCGAGAGAACTGAACAGTGCTATGTACATCAGATCATCGTGCATATGGCATAGCCGTATTGATACAAATGAAGGATCGTCCAGCAACTATCCTGAGTCAGTTTGAATTCGCGAGACGGGCGGGCTGAATGAAGCGAAGTGTTTCGACCTCTTCACAAAGTTAACCTGGAACTGTGGCGCGGAGCGGGTAGGGGAGCTGCCGCCGCCGTGGATGAGGGGGGTCATAAACAGATCAGCGGGAGCGCGAAGGGCAGCAGGCTTTGGGTATGCGGCGAGTTGCGCGGCGATATCAGTCGGGCGGGCGAAGGAGCTAGAGAGGGAAATCGGAGACCACTGGGACGGCAACGGAGTAACTTCTCCTGCGCTCTCCGCAGTAGCCTCCATCGGGGGAAGATCCGCACCGAGCTGTCCAGCAGTCCCAGACGCCGCTGTCCCGCTCAGTCCTGCCTCTGCTTCTGGTGAAGCGCTCGGTTCGCGTTTGACATCGCTCTTGGGCTCTGACTCAGAAGTCAGCGGTTCCTCGTCGCTGCAGTCATCGGTCAGCGCTGGTTGGGATGGATAGGTCAAAGGAGGATCGCCCGATTGTAGCAGAGGTGCTATCGAGCGGAAGAAGTGTGGCATGAACTGGCCGGCTCTCGGAGAGTTCGCAGATAGAGCTGAGGCGCGAACGAGCGTGGTAACCACGAACGGAAGGTCTGCGCGGCAAGTCTGAGGAAGGAGCGGCTGGGGGAACTTGGACGAGCGGCTTCAGACCGCCAGAGGACGACGCTCGTCGGGGAGCAGTGAGCCAGCGGTGAAAGCGATAGAGGCTTGGAGTCATTCGTAGACGGTCTGCTCCAGAGAGAACAGCTAAGGTGGGCGGATCAAGCTGGTCGTGATCACACATAGTATACTCTCGTGCAGCCATTTCTCGTCTAATCTGAAGTGAGGAATTGCGGGCACGCTATGTGAGAAGCCGCACTTACCTGCATATCCTGCATCCTATCCTACGTTGTGGTCGATGCGCGGAAGTATGTTGGCCATGTGAGGTGACTCCGCGAGCATTTCCGTTTCGACCTGTCCATCTCCATCTGCCAGACTTTAGTCGGATGCGAATGATCGAATGAGGACATAACTCACCCATGACTCCATTCACGACATGCTCAAGGTAAAACAAGCGCGCTCACATTGTCTATGGCATTCGTTATAGCGGTGCCCCACGTCTTCTCCTCAGTTTCTTCCTCGGGCTTAGGGTATGGCGCGTGCTTGGGCAACTCGGCATCGCCATGGGTAAGACGGATGTCCTCAGAGCGGACAGTCCACGCTCATCGTGATGGAATTGTTCTGGGGTGTTGGAGAAGCGTACGTGCCCGCCGACCGATGCGTACGGGCGCTGTGAGTGAGACGAACTTGACGTGCTCATCGTGGTCCAATTGAGCGTATCGGTTTCGCCTTCAGCTCATGCGTCCAAGGTCAAGCTTCGCTGAGGCACGAAAAGGGTCTAGCGATGGGGAGTAAGGTGGACAAGCAGTCTATGTAATTCGTTATAGGCTGGATGCATGACAATATTTGGGAGAGGAAGAGGGCGACCCTGCGCGGGCGGCTACTCAGGGGGCCGGTAGTACGTGATTGGCTCGCTCTTTGCCGGCTTACTCGTAATGAATATCGCGAGCGGTGAATGTCTTTGTACCTCTAACGGCGGCGCGCTCGTCCAATGTTGCTTGTAAGTAAGTCGCGCTTCTTTGTCTGTGCTACTGTAAAAGCCTTTTGATCCCTCTAGAAGGGTTTGAGACAGTGCCGTCGTTCTTCACGCCAGTCACGCCTCGGAGATGAGCCTGATGGTCGGTTACAGCCAACATACTTTCAGTTAGGCCTCCTCGCGATTTCAAAGTCTACGCACGCACACGCTGGTTTCTTTTTCCTCTTCACGCTGAGAGAATAGCGGTGCGGCTCAAGTATATGGAGTCATACATGCGCATCAAATTCGGCCTTCAGTATGGTCCATCACCAGCGGCGTTAAAATGGGCGCTTCATCCCTATAGGACGCATGAATGGTCAACTCCACCTGCGATCTGTCTCGGACGACAAACTCAAGAATCACGAGCGAGGGCTCTAGTTAGGCTTGAATCGAGCTCAAATAGCCGCCTATGAACGTTATCCTCGTTCTCTTTCGTCCGCTGCAGATTCATGGTGAACAAGATCATGGTTGTTTGCATCGAGGCCGATCACGACTGGGCTCACCTGGATCATCATATTGCAGATCCTGTCACGCGCATCCTGTGCCCAATCCTGGATGTTTTTCCCTGCTCGATCAATGTCTTCAGGGTCGTCTGACTTGGTGAGTGCTCCCATGCCCGAAAGCATCTTGACACCCGGATGCACGCTGTCGTCGTACAGAGTCACGTACATCTGTATAGAATTGTTCGTGAGCGAATCAATATCCTTTGAGTGATCCTAAGTTGCTCACATCGCTCATATCCTCGTTGACCATGTTGGCCTATGCAATGTATAGTGTGGTCATAGATGAGCTGCGTAGGAAGGTCAGAAGACGACTCGTGGTGACACCAATACTATTGCTATTCGTACCCCTTTCGCGTAAGTATCCAGCTCTGTAGTCGTGCTTTCTGCCCCGGCTTCGTTGATGAATTCATTTACCTCTGTTCTCAAAGTCTCTACGAATGTGTGGACACGACCAAAGAACATGACGACATCGTCCAGGAACACCCTCAGCTCGGTCAAAGAGACAATTGCATGACTGAGAGCTGCTACCGTCCGTTTCGGCTGGATCTCGCTTGCATCAGTTATGCGCGCTCGTGCGTTACATATGTTCACTCACGGTCATCTTGCCCATATTTGTGGTCGCTCCATTCGCCCTCATGACTCCCAGCTTAGAGTTAGCTGACTTGAGCCGGGCCACTGCCGCCTCTGAATCATCTCTGCTCGATTTCAGTTCGGCTTTCATATTCGCGACGCTGTACTGCGCGCCGCGGTCCCCGACCTCCTTCTTTCGAGCTTCGAGATCGACGGATTGAGCCGAGGTCCCAGACTCATAACCGAACCCCGAGTCAGAAATTAGATGCTCTATATCTTCGAACGGTTTGTGGTGCAGCGCATCTAGGATGCTCTGAAACTGTAAACGTGTCAATACATGCTCCATGCTAGAAAGGGATGATATACCATGCTCCGGTCAGCCCCGCCTGTACATAGCATCAGCCACGAGTATCTTCAGAGCGAGAACTCTTCATACCGCTAGGCATCCGGTTCGACGCGTCGTCGGGTTGTTCCTGCGCGCTCGGAAGCTCTCCATCAGTCCCAGCCTGGCGTGCCTCATTTGCAATGCGAGCTCCTTCCTTCTCTGTGACTAGCCTTCTCGCCTTGCCTGAAATGGCGTGAGTTCGCTACCGTGTCTCCTACAACAGGATTAAGGACCAGGACATACGTTGGGTGGCTAAGTACGATTGGTTCATCTCCTTCACAAGTTCGAGGTATGTACTAGCCTCTTTGGCCATCTCCTCCGCCATCCGCACGCACCCATTGATCCTGTCGCTCAGAGAATCGATCAGCCGTGGGAGGTACTTCTTGATGACCATAAAGTTTGGGGTGTTGTCCTTCGGTAGTACAAGAAGCTTAGTGATTCTAACAATAGTGGGATGTACACCGGCAATATGCTGATTGATCCCATCGAAATTGACGGAAGAGAAATGAAAAGTCGATGTACCATCGTCGACGAGCTGCGTGATCGTCATGCGGAAGCTATCTGGATAGCGGATGTACTTGAATGGGACGTGACTGGGTTGTTCGAGTTCGAAGTCAGTGATTGATGCAACCAAGGAGAGCCGGCCTGACAGAGTAGGCGGGCATTATTATGCAGGAGCGATGAGGAAGGTGAGTGGATTATGATGACATACAGAGGATGAATACAGCCATCGGCGCTTGGACGAGTACGGCCACACGGTGCTGTGCACAGTCCTATCGAGAGTGTCAATGTGGTTGTTGAACGGACAGAAGACAATGCGAAGTTACCTCCAGGTGAAGTCTCGGATCTGAGAGTCAATGAGCTGAGATTGGGTCCTGTCATCAGGGCTGTGCATGACTTGTGCGTAAATGATGCACGTCGGGAACAGCGGTGAATTTTTGGCCTGCGTGCACGACTCACGGAGCGTGAGTAGTTTTTCAAGCTAAGAGGCGGGAACAGGTAATCCTTGGGAACCAGCGTGTATTTGAACGGGAGGAGGAAGTACGGCATATGGATCAACGGTAGTTAAGTTTTAGCAGCCTCTCGCCATGCAACGACTGAGGCAACCTCAGATACATCAGAGGCCGAGGCAAAATATCGAACCGCCGCAGAGTTCGGCTGGTCTGGTGGATGTTACTCCTGCCAGTAATCACATGACCTTATCTGAAAATCCTCCTGGCGCCCGGCAGGCAAGTTCTAGACCGTTTCCGAGCCAGCCTCAACAATCTCATCGCTCGCCCTCCGTCCGTCCATACGTCCTGCCTTGTACTGTAAGTATCAAATTATGATATTGAAGGAACTATCAAGAGTGTTCGCGGGAGGAGAAAGACTGCATGGACTGTTACTCGAACGCCAACATTTGCAGAGCTCACCAACTGATGTGATCCTGAGGCATGCCACGGAACTCGACACGAGGCATTGTTCACATGCCACGCCTCCTGCCAATAGAGTCGTCTTGAATCCAAGGAGCGACATACTGCACTGCGCCCACCATGTCGATGTCCGCCTCACCTCGCCTTCCCTAGGGGCTCATTGAGAGGATCATCCGCTACTGTGGAGATGACCAGAGGACTCTTTGGAGCTTTTCCATCACATGTCATCAACTCCGTCCCCGTAGCCTCTGTCTCATGGTCGCCAATGTCACATTCAGGAAAAGGGGGGATATTCTTGCCTTCCGTGACTTACTCAGGACCCACCCCCATCTGTGCTTGCTCGTGCAGTCGCTCACCACCCAGCTTGACACTGCGGCGCCTCTCCACTTTCTCCATGTGCTTCCCAATCTTAGCAATATTACCATGTGCGCTGATGGGGCTGAGGCAAAGAGGTGTAGCATTTCGCAGCCTGTTCTGGCATGCTACAGAACGTCTATGACATGTATCAAAACTCTGCATCTCTTCCTTCTGAAATTTCCCAACTCCGCAAGAATTTTGTCGAGTACTGCAAGCGTTCACCGGCATCAGAGAGCTGTCCTGCAGCGCGCTGACGATTGCTTCGGCGACGAGTGCCAACGCCGAGCGAGAGCGGAGCAAACAACGCCTATCTCAGCAGTTATTGAAGCTGAGAACACTCACGGTGAATATCGTTCAACATCGCTCAGTGTGTCCATGACTGATCGACAGAATGCTATGCTTAGTTACACTCAGTAGACGGTGCCGTGGTAGACCTATTAGTGACATCGGGTCATTCGACAGTGGACAGTCTGTCTTTGAAAGGACCCGAACGTAGGCGTGCTATACCTCCAGGTCAGCACATTTCTCCGAAAATATCTCTGGGATTTGCGAAAGATGCTCATGACCAGTACGTAACTCTAAGTGTGGACTGGCCTCGAATGCACTCCCTCACACTCACGGCTAACGAGCACGACGTGGGGTTCAACGACGATCTCATCAAAGCATCTATCGAGATAGCGAAGACATTCCGCCCCCCGTCCTTGGAGAATATCACGATAGACTTTCTGTCACGCATTGGAGTCCTGTTGTCTTCCATTACAAGCGATGAAGGGAACCTTCGCCTATGCTCGGAGCTGGACCGAACGCTGCTTAGCTGTCCTCACCCAAGGCTTCGATTCTTCAGCGATAGCCCTACTCATTCTCGACGACAAATCCTATGGCTCCACGAGCTGAGAAAGTACTTTCCCAAGCTGGAAGCCACAGGATCATTTGTGATCGCCTCGAGATCAGGTTCGTTACCGTATGGCTTGCAGCGAACGTCCTCACATGGCTTACCCTTTCTCAGACATCATTGTCGGTCACGATTCCGACATGAAACAAGTCTTATCTACTCTCCGAATGGAAAATGGCTCGCCACGGCATCTCATGACTCCACTATCATCTTGTGGGACTCAGACGGCGGACAACCGCTCTATGAATGGGTGCCACACGGTGGATCCGTCAAGTCACTCGCATTCTCTCCTGATAGTCGGTATGTCGTATCCGCCGGCATCTGGAAAAACAGCCTTTGCGAATTGACACTAATTATCACTATTCAGATAATCTCATCTATATTAGCAAGTGTTAGCAGAGATGACATCTACATTAGAGCTACTATTCAGACGCACTTCTTCAGTAGTGCAACTAAGCACTAAATAGTATACTTGATACTAGTTATAACTACTCTTCACTATCGCTTTTTCTATAGTGCCATGTAGTGCCAACATGATACTACTATAGCACTACCGCAAATGTGGTCCTCTAATTTTCGCTATTTTGCACTACTGTAGTACTATTTTGCACTATTTTAGCACTACTCATTTAGGGGAGACTCAAATAAGATGACAATCCTTTATTTATAGCTCATAGTTCTCAACTCAAGCATTACACACCTCTGTAGCTGCAAAATCACCATGATAGCTGACTTATATTTGAGGGCACAACTCAACATAGAACTTGTTATCATGTATAGGACTAGGCTGTCAGCACAGCATTCATACCATGAAGCATACTCTATAGCACACTCCATGTTATATACATAGTCCCAGACATTACACATATGCAAGCCTCAGCAGGTGAATCTGAAGGTGAGGTGTCACCACTTTG